ATGTTATCATCTTATAACATTTCAATAACCTAGTGGAACCAAGTTTTATATACCTCTGTTGACAGGAACCAGAGTACATATATATCCACAGGCCAGAACAGAGAAGGTACCTCTGTGGACTTATTGTCTTAAAATCTATGGCAATCCCTTCACTTTTGGAACGAATGATAATTTGAATGATCAATAGGTATAATAAAAGATTTCAGTTAGTAAACGATTCTTTCATTTGAAATTTGTCAATAACTTGTATTAAATTTGTCAAAAACTTGCCTTAGACAAATCCAATTGAAGTTAAATAAACGATATCGTTATCTTTAAGGCAATGTTATGATCGCAATCTCTATCACATGTTAAATAATTTTACCGAGAAATTCGTGAATATATTTCAAAAGCTATAGATCTTAAAATTAGCCAATTCGGCCCCTGGACTAAGGCTTATTCACTACATAACATTATGACATTTTTCTTTTCAAGGCATATTTGATACTGAGTCAGATTAAAGCGTACTATATTATCTAAGGTCAAAGTTATATTTTCTAATGCTAATATAATTTTCACGTTGGTTGCAGTCGATTTTGCCGGCATCGCTCGAAAAGATCGTAAAATAGTCTCGAGGTCGAGGCACTACACACAATCGATTCAACAATAACTAAAGTAAAAGCTATTCAATTTTCTGAACTCCTAGTCGAGTTTAATGTTTACCTATCGCATGGTGAGAGTGTAGACGGTGCAGAATCGATCGGGGCCATCAACCCCACACAATAACGTCGTAAGGTACGAATTCATAGGCATGCGCACTGAACACTCATGAACTCTTAAAATAATTATACATATTCATCATCAAATACGCCAGAACTTGAGTCGCTCGATAACGTGATGGATATCGCCTACGGTTCACGATTGTGAAAATTAAGCAACTTTCGCAAAGGCGGGTAATGGGATGGGTGACCATGAACATATGCTGAATATTGACACGTTTACTTTATACGATTCCATTCGTAGGGAAAGTCTGTGTCTAAGTAGGAATACTAAATATTATTCGCGGTAATAGTTCTCGTATAGAACATTATATGCAAATGCTGATGATTTTCAAGTACTTATGCACATTTTTGTACTCAATAAGGTCATTAAGAATTGTCCCTGAAGTTTATGATAAAACTTTAATTACTAGGTTACAACGTTCGTCTTTCATTAATTTCATCTAAAGGGAAGGCGTAAAACCAAGACTGTCCCTGTTTATCTCATTGCACCCGCTAATGTGATAGACAGGAATAGAGGATAGCTATATCAGTAAAAATACTTTTTAAATTAATTACTCACAAACTGTCACAATAGGGATGACGACATTTTTTTTTGTTTTCCATCCGTAAAGATATTAAACACGTATTTATTATATTTTTCACAAACAATAAATTATAACTGAATGTATAGTTAAAATATCCCATGTCATCACGCTTTTGTACATTTTCTACAAAACTGTGACGTAGCGAGTCCCCACTCCTCAATTTTAATGCCTGTTATCTAAGCCACTTCTTGTTAAATTAAACTAAAAAAACGAATCTAATATTTTTCTATTATCTAACTGACAGACTAAATATTTTTTTTTTACCCTGTCGTCATCCTAAAACTATGAGGAAGTTAAAAAAAACATTAGTTCCCGAAATCATACTAGATGTCGCTACGGTACGTTCTTGATTTCTCCATGACAACCCTACCGGTTTTCTTTCATGTTTAAATTGAATTCAATTCAACTCAAGAAACAACTCATATTCTATTTGTACTTCTTCGTATATGTATTGATATCTAAGTTTCGAACTTTTAAAATTTCAAATTTTGAATATGTTAGTTAAAAGGAACGGAAATGACTGTCTTTGGTCCATTCGTTTCCTGCAAAAATCAACTTTTACTAGAGTGGCCATCTAGTGGAGTGCTTTTTTAGTGCGTTCGTAATTTTGCATTATCGTTTGAAGGTTATTTCATTGTTGAAAGGTAAACATTTGATGTTTGGAAATACAACTTTGGAACATTTGGAAATACGCGCCCTCTATATAGTTTTATTTTAAATTATTTATTACTCGTATTGAATATTATTGTTAAATATGTATAGAGTTAATTGTTACAAGAGCGTAAGTAAGAATCTTTTGTGTCAAAATTTAAATGCACTATGAACAGTTACAGACATTACAGTTCTAAAGCAAAATTAATACAATATTCACCAAACTACAGCATTTTATGGATATAAAAAATTATTTTATATAAGAGTAACAAATCAGCTCATTAAATTAAATTATCACAATACGTAAATTTTCCCTAATTGACTTACGTTGTCCGCATTAAGGTTTAAATTCAAGAAATTCGAAAGGTTTGTACATCTAATAAATATACTGTTGAATGTATATTACGACTAAGTACAAAAACAATATTAGCAGATAAATTAAATTTCTACTAACAAGTTAATAAAAATGCGTGTTACATGATTCTAATGAAATTTAATGGAAAATCATAAGTAAAGGAAACACGGAGGTCAAAGAATCGGGCCGATGCTATCGAAGAAAATCGACGTCAGTTGCGAATTATAATCGAATGAGGACTGTTCCGTACGAGGTTGGTTTATTGCATTATTAATTAATTAATATAGATGAAAACCATTTAACCATTATGATATAGCCTTATTTGCGGACTGCCAAAGAATATTCCCTGTAAGAATATAGTTTTTATGTTAAATATTGTAGTGAGAATTTATTTAAAAAAATTATATTATATCGCTCTGGTAATGAATTATTTTTGTAAATGTTGTTACTTTTAACAGATCTGGTGAGTTGTTATCACTCGATCTTCTTATCAGTCAAAGTACGTCCTGAATGGTGGGAAAAAAACTATTGAACGATTCAAAAATACTTTAATAAGTTTATTTGAATGAAGATATTTTGACTCTGATTTTGAATTGAAAAAATGCTCGAAAGCAAATCCTCACAAGACTCAAATAATTATTGTTGGAAATTCCGCGCAGACTAACATTGACATTCAGTGGAAGTGTCAGAAACTTGGGTATTTTTATTGGTACAAGAAGAAAAGAGCCGTAAAATGTTTGCGGCTACGTAGTATAAAAAAAATATCGGAACTTTTTACAAATAGCCACTAAAACTAGAATGGCACAATCATGCTGATGTCAGCTATCTTGACCTAACTGAAGAGCAATTAAGTAAACTTGAGGGGCTTTAGAAAATTCTGTATCAAGTTCATAATTGAATTATCATGCTTCCGATTTCTGTAGTAAGCTCAAGTAGCTACCAGTTCGTTTCCGCTGGAATGCACATATTGTTTCTCTCCTTTACAGTTTTCTGTTCAATCCATTTTCACCAGTTTACCTCAAGGAACGCTTCACGTTCAAGAGTCTCTTATTCATGTATTTTACTCTCTAGCTCACAAAAGTAGGCTTGGAAATGAGGCAAGAAAGACTAAGATAATAACGTTAGTTATTATAGGTAGTAGTAGTTATCCTATAACATAACCATGAATATAAAAGGAAATAACATAGAATAAATTAGGCGAAATATATCGTTTATTTACCAATCATTACGAAGTAGTGGACAAAAAATAAACATCACATGTAAGAAGTTTTGGTCTCTAAAAGTAGTTTTTAAAGAAAATTATACAATATATATTTACACTTATAAGAATAATTCGTTTACCTACATGGACATGACAAAATGAAACAAGACTCCTAAAAAAGAAAAGGGAAAGAGAAACAAGCAGAAAGTATGAAACATATCTTACGTTCTACCAACTACCTGTTCTACCAGATGGATAGTATAACTATAGCTATAAAGAGAATGGATCGAAATCAAAAGAAATGTTGGAAAACCGATCGAAAGATTGGCTAGTAATATTTTTGAAACGGAATTGAAAAATGGATAAGAATGTCTTAAAAAATGCTAATAATTGTCCACAATTATTAGGCCTTAAAGATTATTCATAAGTAATACTATCTATTAATTGTAAATCAAGATTTGAATTAAATAAAAGATTTGAAAATGTAGTATATTTTAAAATTGATACCAAAAGTACAGAAATTGACCGTATCTTCCAGCCCTGATCATGAAAACAACTGGATCCAAATTTTCGAGAATAAAATGCTCCATTATAATACATACAGTTTGGTTTAAATTGGTTTTATCAACTACTCACAATACACAGAACTCTAATTAGGATAAAATAATAATATCTACTTCTTACACTTTTTTAAGGTAATCGTCAATATTTAACAAGGATTATAGGTAATTAAAACCATTTTAAACATGCAGACTAATACATTGAATGAATTATTTATGACGAGAACGAAAAGGTGTGATTCCTATTAATTTCATAATGGAAACGATATTATGTATTTCTTTATGTCGTTTTTCATTTTTTCACATAGGTAGTCAAAGCCGAATGTGACGAGACGATGTCTCAAAGGATACAAGCGCCGACGTGTTCAATGGCATTGGTAAGAAAACACCTTTGTTTGTGAGATTTTCAACCGCTAGACAAAGTATTAATGGCAATGAACTAGTAAGAGAACATAAAGCGGCATCTATTAAATTTTATACCAAAGAAGGTAATTTGGACTTACTTACTATAAATATTCCTGCTTACGACTACAGAGATCCTCTGGACTTTCCAAACTTCATTCGAGCTCAGAAAAAACACCCAAAAACTAAAATTCGTGATATGAACATGGAATGGTACTTTACTACATTAAAACCATCTCGTTTTCATGCATTCATGTAGCGTTTGTCTGATTATGGTCTTCCACTTGGCTTAAGAAGAATGGATATGAAATAAACAACAAATATGGAGAAAGATTCATTGTAAAATTAAATTTCCGAACTGAATTAGGCGTAGCAAATCTTACAACCAATCAAGCTCTGGCCATAGCTAGTCAAGAACCAAATTATTTTTCACGTGATTTATACAACGTGATAACTAACAAAAATTATGCATCTTGGAGACTTGAAATGGACATCATGACTTTAGATGATATCAAAAACCTCGATTACAATACCTTCGATGTCACTAGATTATGGAAGGCGGGAACATTTAAAACCGTAACCGTAGGAAGATTAGTGTTAGATGAAATACCAGATAGCTATTTCAGTTCTACGGAAATGAGTGCATTCATCCCTGCCAATTTAGTGCCTGGCATTCCTGGACCCGCCGACCACATGTTTAAAGGACGAAGACTTGCCTATCGTGATGCGCACAATTATCGTTTGGTTAGAAACCAAAATAGAATTGATGTAAATTCGCCAAAAGGCCGTATTTTGACTTATACACGCGATAGCGATCCTCCTGTAAGAGAAAACATAAGAGATGCTCCAAGTTTCTTTCCAAATTCTTTCAACGGACCAGTGCTTTATATTGAACCAAGTCATCCTAGCCAAAAATTGGTTGTTTATGACAATAATATTGCAGATTTTGGGATGCGTAGTATTTTTATAACTACATTCTGAAAAATGAAGGAGAAAGACAAAGGTTGGCCGATAATATGGCTTTTACGCTTTTGGACGTAGATGAAGAAGTAAGAGAAAGGGGGCTGACAATGGTGAGCTGGATTGATCTAGATTTGGTGAAAAGGATCAGGGAAAGGTTTGCAGTTTTGAGGAAAGAAGCGGACAAAGCAAATCATGTCGACGTTAAGACAAGGTTTAGCCCTCTAGCTAGCTGCATTGAGTCGTTTGTTGAAGGGCAATTGACAAATCGTTATTATTAATATAGGTGAAATAGTGATTTTCAATAATGTAAAGACAAGTTACGAAGAAAACGAGTCATTGAACACGAATAATAACTTTGATTCCTATAACAATAAGATCATAAAGTAACTCATGCATCCACTCAATCTGTCCATGTTTTGAAATTATTTTTCTAGCTTTACTCATTCATGGAGAAGTAGGAGTTCTTTCCCTCATCATTATAGTAAATAAAAAATATGTAAAATGTAGTATAAGACCGTGTAACATAATAAACGTACGTCCTGAAAGTATTTTGTTTAAAATCAGATACTGAGTTGATTTCAACAACTTCTAATATAGATTTTTTATCATAGAGTAAATCTATACTAATATTATAAAGCTGAAGAGTGATTGCTTGAACGCGCTAATCTCAGGAACTACTGGTTCGAATTGAAAAATTATTTTTGTGTTGAATAGACCATTTGTCGAGGAAGACTTCAGACTATATAACATTACGCTGCAACTACATGGAGCGAAGGAATAATGAATAATAAAATTAAATAATAACTTTGGGAAAATCCAAAAGGGAAACGCAAATTGAACGCACTAATCACCGCGACAACGATGTCCTCAATAATAAAAATTGAAACAAAATAAAGTGAAGATGATACATAATGAAAAATGGCCCGCGGTTTGTGAAATTGAAATTGAATTGTGGTTTGTGAAACATGGCACACGAAATTAATAGCAAACAAAATATGTTTTTTAACTGATTTCAAAATTTAAAAGCAGGTCCCATATTCGACGACTGAGCATTTTTTTAATGGATTTTCACAGATTCTTCCGCGATTTTAAGACGGAATTTTCTTAATTCCAAAAAAGCATAAGTGGTCGGTCTCCTTCCTTTTTTTTATCTAAATCCGATTAGAAGTTTTGTTTATTTAACGAGATAACTAAAAGTGTTTTTCAAAATAACAAAAATACTTAGACAGCATATTTATTATCATCGGTGAAAACAATTGTCAACCCAGGGGAAATGCACCATAAGCCTAAAATCACGAGTGCGTTCGCCTAACCCTCAAGCCTTGATTATAGCAATAGGATACGATGTCTTAGCGATATTATGACGATATTTCTCATTCTTTAGATCTCATTTGATTAATGGACATATTAGCTCACAGCATTTGCATGTAATTAGAGAGACGAGACCCATTCCAAGAAAAACTCTGAAATAGTGTAATTAGTTATCTATTGGGTTCATTGTATATTGATTACTTATATTTTCATAGCAATATATATTAAATATGGCCGTGGGGTGCCGGCCTAAGAGTAGCACCCCCCCATATCCTCCCGTGGGTGTCGTAGGAGCCGACTGAGGGATTATACGGAAGGCGGGCAGCAGCGCCTCCCGGTATCACCTACCACCACCTACTGCGATCCCCAAGTCGCCTGCCAAGCGTGGGGATTATGGCAACCCCCCCCCCCCCTCATGATGGACGACAATGTTGTATGGCCCCCAGTCCCCGGCAGCCCCTCTATTCCTGTCTCTGGTAGCGGGACAGGTAACGGAGGGGCAGGGGGTGCTAAGAATCCCCGGCAGATTCGGCGCTACCAACACAAACGGACTCTGGCCCTGGCAACATACAATGTCCGCACACTGAGGACTGACGTGAAGCTATTAGAGCTGGAGGAAGAATTGAGCAAGTTGCGATGGGACATAGTGGGATTATCCGAAATCCGAAGAGAGGGCCAGGATACGGTAATCCTTGAGTCCGGTAACATGCTCTTCTTCCGGGAAGGAGATCAAAAATCTCAAGGTGGTGTTGGGTTTCTCGTTCACAAGTCCCTCGTGAACAACGTGGTGAAGATCGATAGTGTGTCGAGCAGAGTGGCGTACCTTATACTCAGAATTACCGAAAGGTATTCGCTGAAGGTCATACAGGTTTACGCCCCGACCTCTTCACACTCCGACAATGAGGTAGAGGCTATGTATGAGGAGATTTCTGAAGCCATACATACGACTAATACCTACTTCACCGTTGTAATGGGGGACTTTAACGCGAAGCTGGGCGCTTCGAACGGCGATGAGTTGAGGGTGGGTCGATTTGGGTATGGGCGGCGCAACCACCGGGGCCAGAAGCTGGTCGATTTCATGGAGAAGGAGGGACTCTTTGCGATGAACTCCTTCTTCCAGAAGAGACCCTCCAGGAAGTGGACCTGGATGAGCCCTGATGGTTCGACAAAAAATGAGATCGACTTCATCATGACAACCAGAAAGCACATATTCAACGATGTCTCCGTGATCAGCAGGGTGAAAACCGGTAGCGATCACCGAATCGTTAGAGGCACATTGAATATCAATGTTAAGCTCGAAAGGTCACGTCTGATGAAGTCTACGCTCCGTCCTAGTGCTGCTCATATCGTGGACCCCGAAGCCTTCCAACTCCAACTACACAATCGCTTTCAGTGTCTAGCTGAATGCGAGTCTGTGGACGAAATAAACAACGGGTTTGTAGAAACAGTCCAAGCTGTGGGGTCTAAGTTCTATACGGCCCCGCGCCGTATTAAATCTCAAAAGCTCTCAGACGAAACGCTCAAGTTGATGGCGGACCGGAGGGATATGAGACTGCAATCTTCAACCGATATGTCGGAATATGGTCGACTTAACAGACGAATTTCCAAATCGATGCGACGCGATCTGCGCTCCTATAATACTACACGTATTAGGGAGGCAATAGAGCGGAACCAAGGCTCCAAAGTGTTTGCACGAAATTTGTCTGCTGGGTCGAGTCAGATGACGAAGCTGAAGATCGACGACGGCAGGATCGTATCTTCAAAACCGGAGATTCTGATTGAGCTTGAGAGGTTTTATGGACAGTTGTACACATCATCACAACAACCCGTTGAAAGCAATGCTCAGGACACCAGAGCAAAGCTGACCCGACATCACACCGAGGATATCCCAGACATCAGCCTGTACGAGATTAGAATGGCACTCAAACAGCTCAAGAACAACAAGGCACCGGGGGATGACGGAATCACTACTGAACTTTTGCGAGCGGGTGGAAAACCGGTACTCTTAGTCCTCCAGAAATTGTTCAATTCCGTCATTCTCGAGGGTACGACGCCAGAAGCGTGGCACAGAAGCGTGGTTGTGCTCTTCTTCAAAAAAGGTGACAAGACCTTGTTGAAGAATTATAGACCAATCTCGCTTCTGAGCCACGTTTATAAGCTGTTTTCGAGGGTCATTACGAATCGTCTCGAACGCCGGTTTGATGACTTCCAGCCTCCCGAACAAGCCGGTTTCCGAAAAGGCTTTAGCACCATAGACCACATACATACGCTGCGGCAGATTATACAGAAGACCGAGGAGTATAATCTGCCACTTTGCTTAGCGTTTGTGGACTATGAGAAAGCCTTCGATTCAATCGAAACCTGGGCAGTACTGCAGTCCCTCCAGCGATGCCAAATCGACTACAGGTACGTCGAAGTGTTGAAGCGTTTGTATAGCAACGCCACAATGTCGATTCGCTACCAGGAAGAGAGCACGAAACCAATCCAATTGCGCAGAGGCGTGAGACAGGGAGATGTCATTTCTCCGAAACTGTTCACGAATGCATTGGAGGACGTCTTCAAGCTCTTGGAATGGGACGAATACGGCATCAACATCAATGGCGAATACATCACTCACCTTCGTTTCGCCGATGATATAGTCATCTTGGCAAGATCGATGGAGCACATCAGTACAATGCTCAGCGACCTGAGTATCGTTTCCAAACAGGTGGGTCTTAAAATGAACATGAACAAGACGAAAATCATGTCGAATGTCCATGTTGCACCCGTACCGGTGGTCATTGGAACTGATACTCTCGAAGTTGTCGATCACTACGTGTACCTTGGACAGACAATCCAGTTAGGTAGATCCAATTTCGACAAAGAGGTCGCTCGAAGAATCCAACTCGGCTGGGCAGCGTTCGGGAAGCTACGCGATATCTTCACGTCCAAATTACCACAGTGCCTAAAGACGAAGGTGTATAACCAGTGTGTGTTGCCAGTGATGACCTATGGCACTGAAACGTGGTCCTTAACTGCTGGCCTCTTAGAGAAGCTCAGAGTCGCTCAGCGAGGCATGGAGAGAGCTATGTTAGGGGTTTCTTTGCGCGATAGGATCCGAAACGTGGATATTCGCCAAAGAACTAGAGTGACCGACATAGCTCGCAAAGTTTGTAAGCTGAAGTGGCAGTGGGCAGGCCACATCGCTCGACGAACCGATAACCGATGGGGACGAAAGGTTCTCGAGTGGAGACCACGAACCGGAAGACGCAGCGTGGGTCGACCCCCGACTAGATGGACGGACGACATCGTCCGAGTCGCGGGCGGCCACTGGATGCAGCTGGCGCAATGTCGTCCGTCGTGGCGTTCAAAGGGGGAGGCCTATGTTCAGCAGTGGACGTCTTCCGGCTGATGATGATGATGATGATTCCGTGTTCACATAAAACTTAGTTGTTGATTGTTTTTTAATTAAGAATTTACATACCTTCAAAATAATAATATTGGATGCATTAGCAATACAAAAAAATATTGTATGAAAACGTTTATATTTATTGAATTAAATTATTTTAAAAATACATTCACTTATTTATTTTACCCCTGGCTACCGTAATCTACCACCAGTTCCAAATTTGGGAGACTTGTCTGATAAGAACTGGTGAAACAAAACACCGACCTCCGAAACTCCGAATGTGTGATCACACATTGCAAAACCAAAACATAGAGTTAGTTCATTTAAATCAAAGGGAGCAATTCACTTTTCTTGTCGGAGTTTGTTTCGCCAGTTCTTCTCAGACAATACTCTCAAATTTAGAACTAGTGGTAGTATACGGTAGCCAGGGGATATGAAAAAAGTCAAATGTATTTTTAAAATCATTTAATTCAATAAATGTTACCCCTCCAAATGTTAATTCAATATATGTTAAAAATGTTTTGTATTGTAAATATGTCCAATACTATTGTTTTGAAGGTAGCTATATTCTTTATTTAAATGACTGACAACACCTTAGTCTTATATGAACACGGAGTTTGTAAAGGGTCCGAAATATCAATAAAACTAAATACAAACGATATAAAACCGTATAAAAGTGGTTTCATTTTTTTTTTTTCAAATAAACCTTAATAATGAAATCATGGGTAATCCGCTTTAAAATTGACGAATATTTTAAATTCACCTTAACGAAACTAGCAGATCGACTTTTTTGAGAAAAATAAGTTTTTCATTTAGTATACGACTGGAAATTCAATGCGTGAGTATGGCTCCCACGAATATCAAAACAAGATCTTATTACAAATATTAAATAACATATTAATTGAATTATCGGATTTGATTGTTCTTGAAATTAATAAGCCACAAAGTGTTTTTACGCATCATTAACTCGTAGTAGTGTATAAAACGCGAGCGATACAAAATAGTTACTCATTTCGTCCATGATGAAACGCTGTAAGTGGTCAGTATTCCTTTACTGGTTTCTAGTACATGGGCCAAAATTATCTGAAGGATATTATTCTAATGTAACTATAGACAGAGCGCCCCGTCAACTAAGAGAATTCAAAAATGAGCATCCGGTAAGTAAAGACTTTTTGCAGAAAGAAAGTTGCAAAAAACTTGAAATTGTTTGTTTTATCTATTATAAAATAAATCCTTTTTATGCAATCGAAGACGATAATATCCTTTGTCCTAAAAATTTAGTAAATTATTACAATTTTATTCCATAGTTTGAGTATAAAATTACAGTAAATTTATAAAACAAATGATTGATTGAACGGATATTAGATTTAAGTATTGAATGAATTATATATGAGCCTTATGAAAACACGCACTCAACACATTTAGGTTATTATTTTAAAATTCTGTTATTTCATAAACTATGAATAACTTCATAATTTTAACTATGATATAATATGTAGAGCATAAATACTCACATTTAGAAGTCAACTGGTTAAGATTGAAAAGTGTTGTAGCATAATTTTCAGTCATATTTGTCAGCACCCAAAGTGCTGTTGACTGTACTAAATACTAATATTATTTTTTTGTCGTTTTTCAGAAACCTATTGGAATTATTACCACTGAAGCCGGTGTCCCAGTCGATTTAAGAGATTCTATAATTTTAAATAAAGATATATTCAATAGTGAATTCTTCACGGACACTTTAACGCATTTCGTTGGTGAACCAATTCCAGAACGTGTTGTCCAAGGCCATGGTTATGGTGCCTTTGGATATTTTGAAGTAACTAATGATGTTTCAAAGTTTACAAGCGCCGACGTGTTCAATGGCATTGGGAAGAAAACACCTTTGTTTGTGCGATTTTCAACCGCTAGACAAAGTATTAATGGCAATGAACTGGTAAGAGAACATAAAGCGGCATCTATTAAATTTTATACCAAAGAAGGTAATTTGGACTTACTTACCATAAATATTCCTGCTTACGACTACAGAGATCCTCTGGACTTTCCAAACTTCATTCGAGCTCAGAAGAAACACCCAAAAACTAAAATTCGTGATTTAAATATGGAATGGGATTTTACTACACTAAGACCGTCTCGATTCCATGCATTCATGTGGCGTATGTCTGATTATGGTCTTCCACTTGGCTTTAGAAAAATGGACTTTTTCCCACTCCATGCATATGAAATAAACAACAAACATGGAGAAAGGTTCATTGCGAAATTAAATTTCCGAACTGAATTAGGCTTAGCAAATCTTACAACAAATCAAGCACTGGCCATAGCTAGTCAAGAACCAAATTACTTTTCAAGAGATTTGTACAACGCAATTACTAACAAAAACTATCCATCTTGGAGATTCGAAATGGATATCATGACTTTAGATGATGTCAAAAGTCTTGATTACAACCCCTTTGATGTCACAAGGTTATGGAAGGCTGGAACATTTAAAACGGTTACCGTAGGAAGATTAGTGTTAAATGAAATACCGGACAGTCATTTCAGGTCTACTGAAATGAGTGCTTTCAACCCTGCCAATTTAGTGCCTGGCATTCCTGGACCCGCTGACCACGTATTTAAGGGACGTCGACTTGCTTATCGTGATGCACACAACCATCGTTTAGGAAGAAACCACAATAAAATTGATGTGAACTTGCCCAGAGGGCGTGTCTTAACATACACACGTGACAGCGATCCTCCTGTAAGAGAAAATATGAGAGATGCTCCTAGTTTCTTTCCGAATTCTTTCAACGGACCAGTGCCTTATATTGAACCAAGTCGTCCTAGCCAAAAATTGGTTGTTTATGACAATAATATTGCAGATTTTGGGCCTGCGTGGTATTTCTATAACTACATTCTGAAAAATGAAGGAGAAAGACAAAGGTTGGCCGATAATATGGCTTTTACGCTTTTGGATGTAGATGAAGAAGTAAGAGAAAGGGGGCTGACAATGGTGAGCTGGATTGATCTAGATTTGGTGAAAAGGATCAGGGAAAGGTTTGCAGTTTTGAGGAAAGCAGCGGACAAAGCAAATCATGTCGACGTTAAGACAAGGTTTAGCCCTCTAGCTAGCTGCATTGAGTCGTTTGTTGAAGGGCAATTGACAAATCATTATTATTAACACATCATAAAAGTGAACTCTACTATCATATGAAAAATTAGTTAGAACGAGTAAAATAAAAATCATGGTTGCTATCTATGATTTTTACTGAGAGATTCGAAAGTTACTCAAAAAGGTATCTTTATTACTAATATATCCTCGCGTCTTGGTTCTACAGCATTACGATTGGAAACAAATATCGACACTGCTCTAAAATTTCTATTTAAAAATATTACAATCAGTATTATTAATATACAAAATGTTATAGTATTGTTTGTGTCAAAAAAAAATAATTTGTATTGAAATTTTTCTTTCAATTTATCTGTTTTTTCTTTACGAGGTTTTATTGTAAGTTGAAATATTGCGTTTACATATAAGAAAAACATTAAAAAAGTTTTCTTAACTTTTATCGTTTTCTAATTTTACCCTATTCATTTTTTTTCTATTATAATGAAGTAGGCGGAGGCAATAAGTTTGGTTAAGATTCATACGCATTTGGCAATATTTGTGAAAGTGATAAGTCCTTCTTACGTCATACAATATATCGATAGCATTAACAGTTTCCTGTTTTCTATTGTGACCTGAAATTCTGATCTTATTTTGAAATTTAATTATATTTTTTTTTAAATATACTTCAAATAGTTATTTTTCTAAAGATTACAACAATTAATTAGTCCTAACCTACAATGTGTAATCTATACTAATATTATAAAGCTGAAGAGTTTGTTTGAACGCGCTTATCTCAGGAACTACTGGTTCGAATTAAAAAATTCTTTTTGTGTTGAATAGACCATTTATCGAGGATGGTTTTAGACTATATAACATCACGCTGCAACTATAAGGAGCGAAGAAATAATGGAAAACGCGGACGAAGTCGCTGGGGGCCACTATTTAATGATAAGGTTAAGCTTTTTCTACTTCTCATTCGTTTTCAGAGTGATCGTGATCACTATGACGCAAACTCATCACTGGTGGTTGATGTAATTCTTCATTCCATTTCTCGCCATCTTGTTCTATTGGAAGACGTTGCAGTGCGTTTGTGTAGTGACTTTACTGCTAATTTTATCGGGCCAGCCCATCGCATGGGTGACTTGATCTAGGTTTTTACACCTAAATACAATTAATATATACTAATTTCTCCATCGTTTCGTAAAAAACAATAGTTTTATTTGGTAAATATTAATTTTAGAAAAATAATGGTTACAAGCATTTATGTATACTTAAAGCATTATTTTAATGTAGCAAACTCACCAGTGTTGCCACTTTTTATTTAAAGCTCTCTTGTGATTTGTTTATAAGCATGAATGAATTACATATTACATCAGTTATGGCTCAGTTACAGTGGTCGAATGGGTCCGCAAGCGTAGCGCGAGCGACCTCTGCGGGCCCATCTCGTTGGACAATAAAACAATGACCGACCAATGAAAATGAACCACAGAAATCGCCCGCATCGACCAGTGTCAATAAGCTATTATTGTAACTTTAAAATTAGACTTCATATTTAACTGTGATTTTGAGGTTAAATTATGGCTTATTATATTAAATTTCTCTCATTTAATACGACCGTTTATTTATAAATGTTATTGTGAATTTTTTGAGTGGAAAAATAAAACTAGGCGCTCTTATAAATAAGGTTCAAGGTATCACAAATCCAAAAATAATAATCAAGGTTGAAAAATCGTTAAGAACCCCCAAGGTCATGTCAGTGTATTGAACCGAAGAAAAGTAAAGTGAGCTACCGATAATTTACCTACCCATTATTACCATGTTAGATTTTGATATACAGGCGGTCTATAATTTAATTGATTATGAATTTTAAATTATAAGACATGGAATCGATTTCTTTTGGCGTATAAACATAGGATAGGATAAGATTGTCCGTTACGAGTAAAATTGGATCAGTCCTTAAAGGAAGTGATAGTCAACATTCTCCTATTGAAACTAATGAGAAGAGGATGAACTCTAACTCCATAATTACACTTATACAACATTACATTTTAAATGCTTGTATATGCTAACTGTTAATTGTCTCGTTCTTTTTATACTGAGTTATATTGTCTGTTGACAAAATAAATTCTTTATTATTATTATACAACAATTTGGAAAATTATAGTAGAGAATACAACTCAAAGATCATTGACACAACTTAAGTCTAAGCATTCATATATTTTAACTACATAGACTTCTTATTAAACTACTAACTTTGGCAATTGTAAAAAAATACAACCTGTATATAAGAAAGGTAGTGGAAGTAACATCGCGTGAAAGCTACAGGCCATATTTCAGGGCAACCATGAAAAACAAATCGTTGTTCGACAACAGAGCTTTCGAGAACCGATGACAAATTGAGACTGTAATTTTTTTTTATAACGTCTAGTACATTATTAATTAGTCGACCTTTTTTGACATTACCGGTAATTTATGAATTTTACTTTTACTCGAGGTGAATAAATGTGCGATACAATCTTCTTAGGATCTATTCATTTGTTTTTAATCGACTTCATAAAAATAAGGTAGTTTTCATTCATGTATGCTGTATGCTTTTTAAATAATAATTCAACCGATTATTATTTTTTATTCGTTCTCGGCCCGACCAAGAAAACAAAGAAAATGAAAATAAAACCATGTTTTTTTACATATTGTCTCCTTGCCTCTATAAAATTGCACTTGACATACGATTAAATAAAGAATCGAGCTGTCGAATGACAATAAATAAGTTTACATACTACCCTCAAATCTTGGCTAGGCTGAGAACTTTTCAAACTACCCTCGTATGTAGTTTTATATGTATACTAGCTGACCCGACAGACTTCGTCCTGTCAAAAAGATTTGTAATGTGGCAGTTTTTTTGCCTACGTATTTAAAAAAATTCTCCTGAACAGAACCGTCACCCTGGTGATAGGGCGTTGTGAATAAAAAATAATTAAATAAAACATATATAAGGATTTAAAAGTAAGTAATCGCTTTATTGTTAATCATGTGAATCATAATTATTATTGCAATGTATTAATAGTAATAGTATTAAATATAGAAAAAAGAGATTTTTATGATCATAAAAACACATTACACACAACAGCATTATAAAAGTAAACTATTCGAATTAAAAAAATATATAAACATTCTCAAGGAAAAATGCTGGAAGAATCCATCTACCTGTACCCCGGAATGCGACTCGAACCCATTCGCGATCCAGGGACTGCTCTAACCAATGAGCTATCTAGGACCCAACAGCTTTGCTACTACAGAGCGTATTTTCATCAATGTTCCGGCAATACATGTAATGACGTGGAAACTGATGCATTTTATCTCGCGTGCCGAAACTAATACAAAAGAAACGCGAGTTTCGGAACGCGACTTAAACTCCTCCAACTATGTATTCTGTGCTCCAACGCACACACGCACATTGTTTTGATAGATATGATCTTTGACGTTAGGAACACACCTACATTGCTTAGACAACAGTGAGTGCTTGTAATTTAATATGAACTTTATACCATAGCAATAAAGCTCAAATTGACTACGTTTTAGTTACAAATCATTTGTATGGGAAAAAGAAAAGGGCTATTTTTAGGGTTTTTCCAGCAATTTTTCTCGCCGTAAAAACCATCCTTGAACTTCAACGAACATTTTAAAAAAAGATTTGGCCAAATTGGTCGAGGCGTTGTTGAGTTATGCGCTTACCAACACATTTTGCGATTCATTTTTATATATATAGATTGTTACATGTTTCAATGGTGACGGACGACGTTTAGTTTTTTTTCTTGGTAACTTAAAAAATCAATAACGACCGCGCTGTCACAGAAAAGTCTAAAATTAAAATTATTTTTCTCAAATATAAAACCGACAAAAATAGAAAGATTATTCTTAAAAACAAAATGCCATTTGTTAACCACCTTTGTTGAGTTATTTTAAAGCCATTTTATATCGTTTAAAAAATATTATTAAAATCCGATCACAGATAGTGTTTGATTATTGCAATTCGTTTTAAAAGTACGCCTTCAGAACAATAAAGAGATTTTATATTATAAAAGTTAATTGCAGAACTATCTTTAGAAAATCGTCTACTATAATAGTATTGTATTTAATGTTCTAAAATTATATATAATGCTTATTAACTATATAAATCTATAGAGAAAACTACAACAATGTATGTTTTGTATTTTAAAATATTACAAGTCTACTTTGGTTTTGGTAAATGTATAGTACTGTGACGGGTTCGGTCGCATCGATGTTGGTATTTAATGAAAATTCTGACTAGCCTCGACAAACTATATTTATAGTAAACACAAAAAAAAACTGTAACAACAAAAATAGAAATGGTTTGTTATGGATTCCGAAAATTATGATAGTGCCTATAAATAAGTAAATAAAACAATTACATACCCCATTTCTGAGTTTTCCTTATAAGCTGGAACTTAGCTCATAACTGTCTGTTACATGATATTTAAAATATTTATTAATATACAATAACATGTTGGTGTTGGAAGAATTTTCACGAACTGACATTCGGAAAGAGCATTTCGTGTTCCTCAAAATTTTCTAAATACAAAAAGCGAATAATAAAATATATATTATCATAAAGATCAGAGACTAAAAGTTTTTATGCGGAAATATAGAACAAAATAAATGTGGCACGACGCACCTTTACAGTACTTTGTCTTTGGTACCTACCTAAATATATAGCAAATACACATTCTGACGCACGTGTGCTATAAAATTGTGTTCAGACACAGTACATACAGACTTCATCTAGCTAAGATCCCGACTTCCACCCATATTGCAGACGTAAAAGAGCACAGTATAAAACTGGCTCCGGGAGGCCATTTAAGCTAAATAAAATTTCCCTCGGGTCGGTTTATCCGCTCTTTCCATCTCTACACATATGTACCTCATTTATTTGTGCCGCAGTGAAATACGGGAAACATAAAGTACCTTATTATATTAATTTAATATGATGTTTTTGGCCGATGCGACCGGAATTTTACCTTGCCTCTAGGCGTTTTGTGTCGCTCTTTAGTGGA